TAGGACAATACTACTCAAGACTGCGTACGTTTTCCCCCAAAAATGAGGTCCCACATTAATTACAATGTTCTTTATTTAAATCTTTTTAATCAACACAAAACCAAACATCAAAAATAATAATAAAAAAAATATATTCAATTACATTTATACATAATATACATAACAAATCGTGACTTACAAGAGTATTTACTCGAAAGTTTTTAAAATCTTAATATTTAGGTACATTACATCCAGTCATTGTTCGTCAAAGTCCGAAATTACACCACAATGGCAGATCTTATACAGCGGCTGGTTCACTAATGTTCATTACATCATATAAAAATATGAATTTACCTACTATAAAAATAATTAGACAGGAAGAGTATAAAGTGTAAAGATATCGCTGCAAACACACGAAAAGAAAGTAAAAAAAACACTTGTAATATATACAAATGAAAGCAAATGTAGCAGTAAACGGACGAACGAACTGCGGTAACCAGAAAACACTTGAATATTTATTCAGTTGGTCATTCGAAATTTATGATTAGAGAATTCTTATTATATTAATACTTCACATATATAGGCTAAAGAATTTTTAATTTAATACTTTCGGTAAGAATAGTACTAAATTGTTTGATAGAAAAAATGCAACATTAGTTGAAACATTACATTTCTATTTTAAAATTACAATCTGCTGTCACAAATAACTTTTCCCAATCCCTATGTCTCCTTAAGCGGTGAGTTTTTGTGTTATCGATTGAAACGCCTTTAGAATGTGTAAAGTAGACTTTACTGTCTGATTTGTTACAGTCTAACTTTATATTTCATGTAAAATAATTAAAAACGATGTTAAATCTACATTTTTTGCAACTTTTACAGAATCACCAAGAAGTAGTAACCCTAAGTTCAAACAAGTCAATGAGAAATTGGCGTCGAAGAAACTGATATTAGTTTAAGAACGCTCTACTCAGTTGCAATGAAAAAAAATAACACTTTTCCCTTACAAAGTGATAGTGGTGTAAGAATTAAAAACTACTGGTCACGACAAGAGAATAGAGTACTGTGAAGGATTAATAATATCATTCCCAAAGTGAGTAAGGCGTGGTTGCAATATCATATATACAGGGTTACATAATTGAACTGTTACCAACTTCACATCGATATATCTGGCAAATTGATATATTTGGCAAATCGATAATGAGAGCTACGTCAAAGTTGGCCTGATAATAATTCAGTATATTGTTTATAAGCCGTCAAAAGCATTTGCATTTAAGTTTTATATATACAACAAAAGTTATTCGCAATTAAATTTAAATGTAATAGTGTGATTGCGTTATGTTTGGCTGGAAAATCACAACCAGCTACTGTTCGTCAGCTCAAACACCTCAAAGTGAATAAAATGTTTGTGTATCGCACCATAACTCGTTATAATGATACTGGTAGCATTGGCAAACGCTTTGGTAGTGGACGAAAAAAACAGTAACATCACCTGAAATGATTCGGAAAGTGAAGGCTCGACTTGAGCGAAATCCACGTCGTAGTGGTAATCAAATGGCTAAAGAACTGCAAATATCCCAGCGAAACATGCAACGAATATTGAAAAAGGAGCTCAAGGTCAAGCCTTACAATTCCAAAAAACACACAATCTTGCACCAAAGCAAAAAAAGTTCGGCTTGAAAGAGCAAAGGAGTTGTTACGCCTGCACGAACGTGGCGAATTTCCGAACATAGTGTTATTTGATGAGAAAAATTTCCCTATTGAGCAGTTCATAGACTCTCAAAATGATCGTGTTTACTTGACCGAAAGCACCTACGAAATTTTGAGCTTACGAACGGCCACCCGAAGTAATTTCCCATCTCAAGTAATGGTATGGGCAGCTGTAACCGCCGATGGACGCTATCCAATCGTTTTTATTGAATCTGGTGTCAAAGTAAATGCAACTTATTATCGGGAAAATGTTTTAGAAGCTGCTTTAGAGCCGTGGGCACGCAAACATTTCGGTTGTAGACCATGGACTAAAAAATATGCCAGTATAGATGCGCTGAAGAAAGCAATTATACGTGAATGGGCCAAAATACCGGAAGATCACATTCGGTCAAAACAAAAGGTGGCCACATCGAGCTAAAGTGAGTGGATTCTAAAATTTTTATTATTTTAACACATTTGTCACTTAAATCAATAAAAAATAATTTCACACAAAAAAATTATGGTCGTTTGAATAGATAACAGTTCAATTGCGCAACCCTGTACATGAACTCATAAATTTCTCACCTAAAAATACATTCTGCATTCTTAAAAACCACTTTATTCTGCGAAAATTGGAGTATGGATTGCAAATTAGAAGTAGGGCGGTGGGTCCCATATTTTTCAATGAAACAGTGAATGCATAACCAAACAGTAGAGAAATGCATCGAATCATGGAGGAACTTGAGTTAAGTGATATAGTGGACGGTTTTTTTTAACAATTTACTACAATAATGCATTCAGTCCGTGTTTTGCGACATTGTGTACAGATGTTTTTGGCTATCACATAATTTCAATAAAATTCTGGCCTAAACCTGACCTATCGTCACTCAACTTTTCCGTGGAGTAACGCGAAAATAATTATTTATAAAATCCTTCCAAAATCTATCGATAACAACGTTACGGCGTGTGTTTGTAAATGGATTTAGACGAAATGAATTGTAGATTCAACAACTGAGAAGACACTTTCAATATTTAATATGAAGCTTATATACGCTTTTATAAGGTTTTGAATGAGTATTAACAAATTTTTAACTTGTTTCAGCACATTTGACCTTATATTTAAGGAAAGACCCTTTAAACACATAAAAAGAAAATATTGTGGGCGCACCTAGTGATTTCAATTGGTGAGGGTAGTCACAGTAGATTGACATAACTCCCTTTTAGTGGATTACACAAGTCTCTAATTGTCGTCGCTACAGTCAATTCACGCCAGTAAATTGCGACAATATTGCACAATCATTTTCTATTTTCATTTGTCCTCATTTTCTATATCAGGACCAGGTAAGTTGCTCCAAAGCAGTGTCACCTGATTGGTGCAACACTCAAACGAATCAAACAACTCGTCGTCGCTGATTGGTCAAACCGCGTCACAGATTGTCCGATCGCCTAGGACCGATAGGAATTAAGGAATCAGCTGTAAATTGCGATACATCTGATAGTCCCATAGGTTTATGCATGGTTTATTGTACCGTAACAGGCAAAATCAGCTGTTTTTGTATCCGTCCCAGCATAATATATAACGGATCGGCACTCCTTGTGTTGATAGTGCACCAGTATCAGAAGCGTTGTATCGGACGATGCCCATGCTCTTCTAAGCATGATAAGTTTATTGGTTCCTATTTTGGGAATATGGCGCAGTCAATGCCCACAAGTCGGACATGATCACGTTATACAGATTTTGACAAGATCCAAAAACATAAAAGGCTTGATAGGGCCACGTCCAGAACTACCTGGTAAAACAGATAGTAGATTCTTTTGCGATATTATAGGCTACGCCATATGCTGCAATCTATGTATGAGTTTAAAGAAGTAGCTTCACATCAATGGAAGACCAATAACCAAATGGAGGTCGATGATACTTAAAGAAACTTGTTTCTAACATAATAGCTAAAAAGTGCGTTTTAACTGAAAAGTTGCATAACAAACTCTTAAAAGTGACAAAATTTTATACTTGCTTCCATTTTTTTAAAATTTTTTTGTTCCCAATGTTTTATCTGTAAAACTTTCCCTATAAAAATTTCAAAAATACATCCAAATCACCCACATTTTATACTTCATTCACTTTTTCTTTTGCCAGCTGCCGATAAAAGATCTGCCATGGAAAGACACTCTTGATAATTACCAACATTTCATTTCTCTTTAATGCTTTATATAAAACAATTAATCGTCCTAATAAAAAGATTCACTCTGAAAAAATAATTACATAATAAAATGAACAAAAATAAAAAGAATAATTTTTGATACTAAAATAGACAAATTGGGTGATATCTTGTAAAGAGAGCTTCACACTTGTTTTTGTTTGCAAAGAAATAAGTACAGGACCGGTTCCCACCAAACTGGTCAGAGGTTAAAATAAAAGTTTTTCATTAAAAAAATAAGATAAGAGTTTATAACATAAAACAATATCACTGTATATTAAATACTGCTTAAAATAATGAAAGGAATACTTATTTATTTTGCAGAAATGGCAAACAGTGGTTAAAGAAATACTTAAAGGGCGCTGTCGAGTAAAAACACCAAAAGAAGATATTTATATGCATAGAAATTTTTTGGAGAGACTAATATACAGGGAGAAAATATGCATAATATTCTACCTATAAACTATTTCAGTGACTAGAGACATAACGACTTTTTGACATTTTTATTTCGATCCAACAGGATTTTGTCTATACATACATTATAAGGCTGAAAAGTCTTGATGAACTTTACGGGATACAAAATAGTTGAAAAGGCACACAAAATAGATACAGCACAGGCTTCTCTATAAGTAGAAATATACATTTGCATGGATCGCATCCTTAAACTTACTGGTCCCCAAAAACCAACACTAAACATGCATATGAAAGACTAGAAGACAAAATATTTAAAAGAAAGCCATTATAAAAGTTATTTAACAAAATAAAAAGTACTTTTAGGTGTTCCTTATGACATAGTGAAAAAAGAGATCACAAAAATACTGTCAGAGCAGGTTACGAACATATACAAAAGCATTCTACAGCTATGGAAGGCACACATTTTATTGTAGAACTCCTACGATATATATTTCACACCTTTTAAAATGGATCATATTTAAACAGGAAGGATCAATTAATGAAAATCATGTGACATGTCAATGATTAATAGCAATAAATGTTGCCTCCTTCATTTGGGGCGCCTCCAATTGACAAAATATCAAGTATTCCTTTAAGTATTACCCACAGTAGTCTATTTAAACAACATAGATGTCCAACAAAGAGAAAAATGATAATACTTTAAAAGTAAAAATAAAAATCATACGCTTTCAATACTATTTAATCAAAAAAGACAAAAGTCTTTAAAACTTACAAATATCTATATAATAGAACTCTCATCTTAAAATATCAGGTATATATTATCCATACAACAAACGTTTCACAAAAATGTGAAACAATAGAAAAATTACTAGAGGTACTAAGCTAGTACGTAGTCGGTACGTAAAAGTTAATGTAAAAGTTCGGGCATATCTATCAGTTTGGTAGAAATCTGCCGAATGTTTAAATTTATACAACAACAACAAAAAAGAACTTTCCACTGGTTCGAAATTTGCCCAACGCTTTGGGGGGTTTCTTGTGCTTCCAATTTACCTAAATTCATATATTTGTATACTATTTTCAGGCACATGAGTTAGATTCAAAGACTGAAACCTGGAAATTAAAACTTAGTGTTATACATTTTCAATATTAAATTAATTCAATATTAATGGCTGGTTTCACCAACGATGAATAATAGTTTATTTGATGAATAAAGTTATTCGACCAATAAAACTGACATATTGGCATTTCACTAACGTCAAATAAGACTTTAGTCTTTACTAGACTAAAAATATTTACTTTTCGAATAAATTAAAAAGTTATTCTTGCTTTAAATATCTATAACAATGAAAATTCGTCAATTTATATTATCAAAACTATATTAACACAATAAAAATATAATCAACTTAAATTTTATTCTACACAAATAACTATTCATTGATTTATTTGGTGTTGGTGAAACTGGCCCTTAGTAAATTAACTATTACATACAGGGCAAACAAATTATTTGTTTATGTATGTGATTAAGGACATAACGATGAACTGCTGTATTCATTCAATAATGAACTTAAACAATGTTCATATCAAAAATAAGTAAGTGACTTTCCTAGAAACAGCATAAGATATGAGGGGTCTAGATGCAAACCGGACATTTCCAATTTTTGGTCAAAATTAGTTAAATACACCCCTGTAATCAGTAATTAAAGATTCATATATTAACAATTTGATAAAGAGCAAAAGTGGACAGTTCCTAGTAGTAATTTGGTGTCAAAGAATTGGTTCAGATGCAAAAGTGGACTTTTCATCCAACGCTTGAGATTCAAAATATGACATTTACATCAGGTGTCGCTTGGCAACACTGTTAGCGTTATTAAATGTAAGCAGATAGTGTGAAACTTATAAACAGTAACTCAACAAGTTAAAACAATTATAGTTAAAACATCAAAAAATGAAACAACCTGCACTTAAGTTTCAACCCCAACGATTCAAGGAAAAGACAACGTATCCTGGTTCTTGGAAAAGAACAAAACAAAAAGGTAAGATTTTAAACTTTTAAAATATAAAACAGTATTGTGAACATAACCAATATTTGGCGGCAATTAAATATATTTAGGTTACAATCGTTTACAACACATTTTAACTGGGTGATTGACACAAATATGAGCAAAATATTAGACCACGTTACCAAGTGCTTCAAAAATCTGTAACTTTATTTTATATGAGTCGTTTTTGCTGTTATAAATGTATGAAAATTTTAATTGTTTCATTCATGTATTTTAACAAAATAATATATATGATTAAGTATCACAAGTAAAATTATTATCTATTGGTAACAATTTTTATAACTAATTTTCGTCTGGTTTATATTAATCCAGTGTTCATTCATTGTTGTAGATATTCTTCAAGTAGTTTGCCTCAGTATCCATCATGTGGTCACAAAATACAATCATTTCAATGCTGTTATTTTTCAATGATGGACATACAAATGACTGGATTTCAGATGCATAAATTAAGAGCTAAAAGTTTCTTTGATATATTAAAGCAGAAAGTTCCAATGTTTACACTTTTAGTTGTACTGTCAGAAAAATATGCCCTTACCAAAAATACCTGATCAGGCAGCCTACTATTCAAGATTGTATATAATTTTACAATAGTACAAGGCTCTTCAGAAGCAAAACTTACCAAAGACAATGTGTTTACATAGACATGGACCAAGCTTGAATCAGCCAAAAGGTTTCCTATTGAAATTGCTTCAGTCCATCTGATATGTGACGGATGTGGGGGACAAAACAAAAATTCGACACTTGTATTTATGTGTCAAACATGGCTGGCTGATGATGCTCCTATTAATATTTATAAAATTCAACTTGTCTATCCAGTTACAGGACACAGCTTTTTACCTGCTGATCGAGTTTTTAGCATTATTGAAAAAGCAGTGTGAAGAAAAACGACAATAATTCAACCCCAAGAATATTTTGACTATTTTCTGAATATACAACCATAATTAAATATCAGAATTTGAAGTAATGGATTGAAAAACAGAAAAAATGGGAGATATTGAAAGAACTCTAAGTTGGCATCTCCAAATCAGAAATCGTCAAGAATTACAATATTACGAGAGAAGAGTTTGCGAGGACATAGAATTCTTGTTCAAGGAGAGATATTTCTACAAATCTGTACACTGAACTGCATTATCAGTAACCAAGAAAGGTAAAGCATGGACTGATAAATCCTGCAGTTTTACGTCCAGGTGTAATGGCCAAAGAAGCACAACTTAAAGATGTAAACGAGCTACTAAACAAACATTTCAGTACAAACTAGATGCAAATGCAGGAGCTAGAATTCTATGCCAAAGCTTTAAACAAGATCGAGTAACATACGCAGGATTTTAATGATCCAATCTGTGAACATATGGAATCTTTTTCTAGTTTAATGTCTTATCCCATATTTTAAAACTTAAATTAATTTTTTTTAATTGACAGAAGAACAAAAATCTAAAAATCGTTAAAAAAGTAAAGTTGTAAATTGTTTTTTTTTAGTTTACCAAAATTACATAAAGTGGAAATGTCCGGTTTTGAATCTAGACCCCCTCATATGCATTTTGTTGTTGATAAATTACTTGATGTTACAGTGTATCATAATAATTTGGTTCTTGTATGACTATTAGGTTTTGGAATCACATATTTACACATCTAGGTAGTAGCCTGGTCACCATGCTGAATGGCAATGACGATTTGACATTGTCAATGTAAAGTGTATTGCATATCTGGAAGTACTTATATTATAAAAAATATTTGATGTTTAGAATCTTCCAGCAATTTTAATTCTCTCATATATTGAATTCCATTTTTTTTGTAAAATTTTGAGTTTATTTTAATCGGATATTAAAAGAAACGCCAACTATATTGTAACTAAGATACATTATGTATTTCTCTTAGTAACTAAAGTGGATATTAAAGCATTTTAGACTGTTTTTCTTAATTATTTCTGATTTTTTTGACTATACGGATTTAGTATAGAACACTTTATTCAATGCACTTTCCAACTATCTCTTCTTCTTCTTCATGTACCATGTCCTTTCAGAACGTTGGTTACCATCATAGCTATTTTAATTTTATTCACTGCCACCCTAAATAGCATGCTTGTATCTACACCATACCAATCTCACAAGTTCTTCAACCATGAGGTTCTTCTTCGTCCTGGACTGCATTTGCCTGCTATTTTTCCTTGCATGATATTTTGTAGCAATCTATAATTGGGACCTCTCATTACATGTCAGAAATATTCCAGCTTTCTTTGCTTGATGCTTTTTATGATCTCAGTAGTCTTGCTGAGATGTTCTAGTAATGTGGAGTTACGAATCTTCTCCACCCAGGAAACTTTTAAAATTCTTCTGTAGCACCACATTTCGAAAGCCTCAAGGCGATTTAGATCGATTTTATTCACAGTCCAGGACTCGACAGCATAAAGTAAGACCGAGAACACGTAGCAGCGAAGTAGGCGGATCCTCAATGCCAACTTTTAGGTCTCTGTTACATAACACCTTGGACATCCTTCTAAAAGCAGCTCTAGCCTGCTCTATTCTGGATCTAATTTCGCCGTGATTTTTCTGCATTAACAATTTAATTGCTGTCCAAGGTAGACGATTTTATCAACTTGCTCAAGTTTGGTATTATTTACATATATAGACAGTTTTATATTCTGTTGTTTACTTATTACGAGTATTTTGGTTTTCCTTATGTTAAGATCCAGACCTGCCTCCCTACAACTCTCAACGACACTATCAAGTAGTGTTTGCAGATCTTCTTGACTAGAAGCTAGGAGTACTGTATCGTCCGCATATCGCAAATTATTGATGACTTCGCTGTTCACAAGTATTCCTTCTTGTTTTTCAGAAAGTGCTTTTCTGAAAATTCTTTCGGAGTAAACGTTAAAAAGAAGGGGTGACAAGAGGCATCCCTGCCGTACTCCTCTTTTAATATTGAGAGCTGTGATTCCACACCATCTACTAAAACTGATGTTGTTTGATTCCAATATAAATATGCAATTATTCGAACATCTCTGCCGTCCAAACCAATGTCTTTTGTGTTTTGGATATATTTCCAGTTTAGTTTTTTTTTAATCTGTTGGAAACATTTTTCCTCACCATTATCATTCTTGTAGTTTCTTTGGTATTAATTTATTGGAAGATTGTCTTTTCTTTAGGCTCAGTAGGCTCAGAGCAAAATTATATGACAACCAAATGATATTTACTGTGGACACAATTTAGTTTTGTGGAGCTCAAACTATTTTTGTTAACATAAAAAGCTAGGTGGAGCCTAAGAAAAGCCCATCGGAAGACCAATCAGTTACACTTAACACATCTATTATCCAGTTTAGATTGTTACAGAGCATAATATGAGTGTATATTGTTAAAAATTATTTACTTACCATTCAGAACTTCTGTGGTAATAATAACCCTCTATTGTGGCTTTTGACTTTTGAAAACAAATATAATAAAATCCAGCAAAGGAGGCTCCTGATATATCTTTAATTGTATGGTCCGGGACTAAAAAATGTTCTTTCCATCTCATAAAAACGTAGTCCGTATCAGCAAGGGCTTTGTAATCAAAAGAATCTGAATTAAAGGTTTTGGCATATTGACTGAACAGTGAGAATTTGCTCTGAAAAGAGAACAAAAAAATTAATTTCAGTGTCTAACAATAGGTACGTACATTCAGTTAACATATATTTTTAAAATTATTTTATGGTGTATTCCAAACAAAAAACCAAACATGTACACACTTCATGAATCAAATAATGTGATAGCTCTTTGGCTGTACTCTCACAAACAAAAAAGAAAGAAAATAGTACAAAAATTGTCATTTAAGTATCCAAGATCAGAGTTAAGAGAATGTCTGTCAGATATTGTATGTATCATTAAACATACAAAAATTTTGAGCAAAAATAACTTTTTACTCTAGAATAATAGGAAGAGATAATAATTGGCCACCTATTAAATAAGCCTGACCTTGCTTCCAGTCATTTATTTTATTCCCTAAGGTAAAATCAGATATTAAGAGGATAAGCACGTTTTTGCCAAATGGGGGTATATAGTTTACACTTCATACTATACACTGACAAAATAACATTAACATGTTCCCTGCCATAGAGGATTTTGTAATAACTTACGTTCACGCCATAGTCACTGAGACGGCACCACAGTTACACTGTCAAATAGACCTTGCTGGCATGCAGAGCAATTTTTTTCTTGTTCACATAGACAGAGACAGTAGGCAACATGTTAACATATTCAACACATTAGCTGATTCTGAGTGACAAACTTATACTTCTCCAAAAAAATACACACATTGGATAAAAAAAACCTTTGAAAATAAAATTTTGATAGGCACAATCTCTTTGATTGAGAAATAAGTGGTACAATTATTAGTTCGAGCCACAAAACAAATCATCCTCCAAAACACCATAAAAACCATTTCTCTCAGTTTTCACATAATTAAAGAAAAATTGTTACCCAATGTTTTCGGTCCACATCTTCGTCTGCATCCCACTTTCTGGTAAGAAAAGGATATTTTTGGCTTATAATTTCACCATCAAAAAATGTGGTCAGTTTTGGGTATTCATCTGTAAGTCCATTTATTTGTAAATATCCACAAAGATATGAGTTTTCTTCATCTACATGCTAAAAAACAAAACATATTAGAAAACACTTGTCCTAATAACACAATTTGGCAAGGTGACTGTATTTATTTTTTAATTTTAGCAGGAAATTGGACAAAAAATTTAGCATTATGTGAAAAACTGCTCATAGTTAAAAATAAACATTATGTGTAGGTAAGTGGTGATTACTATGACTAAAAACAAAAAAGTGAAAATACAGGTCACATTCTACTGTTACGAAATAACTTCTATAAATTAAGTAGAACGCAATTAAAGTGAATTAAAACCTTCAGAATAGTGACAATCTTGAAAATTACTATAAACTGTATGAAAAGTTGTGGAAAGATTTTTTTGATATAAAAAGTTTTTCTAACCTGTAAAATAACTTCCACCTCGTAACTATTGCCTTTCGATTTCTGGAATCCTTGAAATTTTGAGCCATTGTATAATAAGGATTTGGTAACACCTGGTTGTTTGGAATTTGCCGGCAGGGGAGGCGTTATTTCCACCCTAACCGGCATTTTCTCAAGATTTTCCTCTGTCTTATCCAATTTTTAGAAAGTCAAAATTAAATGTCAATATGGCTTCCTATGGAGAAATTTGGAACTATAAAACAATGAGTCATTAATTGAATTAGCACATGACTTACACGACAGGCGTCCTGAGATGTAAGTTGCCTGAGTAGTAGTAGTTCTCACTCAAGAACTATGAAATTTTTTTGAATCTTGGGATTGCATAACTAGTAGTTTTATTTAAAATAAATCGCGAATAATATTAGATATAACTACGGGTAATATAAATATCTACAATATGATGAATTTGATACCAAATAAAGTTAAAGAAAACTAGAAAGGTAAAATAAATACAATAAATCCCATATGGTCAGCAAAATCAAGCGAGTTTGAAGTACAGACAAAATAAAAGGAGCGTAGCGGGATCATCGAGCAAAAAGATAATTATCTTTTTGCTCGATGAGCGGGATAAAGCGAACGTAAACCACAGACAGGCAATTTAACTCAGAAAGTTTGTAAGCCTATTTACAATTTCAAAAGAACTTAAACCAAATAAGTTTAAGGCAGTTAAAATAATTGATCTTATCACGTCTAAGTAGAGTCTTTACTGGGATTACAAAGAATAAAAATCATGCGTCAACTTCTACTTCTCTTAACAAAAATCATAGTACAAATTTATGTGTAATAGGTTTTTGTTGTATATCTCCTTTGTTTTTTTTTAACAAACGAGATGTACAACAATGCACAAACTACAGGGCCATACAACTAGGGTAAGGTGGGTGAAGTGCGTCCCCTTTTATTCATATTTGGTTTTAATTGTATCAATGCTTCAATTGGATTATTTCTGCCAAATCGAGAATAAGTGCTTTGACAATGATCTTTATTTAGAGAAGATTTCAAATCTGGCTTTTCACGATTATTAATTATAATTTTTTTCTCTTACATATCGCAGTAGCGCACTTGCCCGTCAGTTTAGGGCAAGTGCGTCTCCCGGGCATAGTTTTATATAGTTTCCTTGCGTTGAATTACGGGGTAAGTGCACTTATTTACTAGGCTTCTCTGAACACAGCTCTAATTTTTTTTAAGTGTTCATAATTGAGTTATATATAACATGTAGCTTCTCCATTTTTAAAAATTTTAAAGTGTTTGTCTTTGTGTATTGTATTATTATGTCCAAATTTACATGTATGACATTCTGCTCATGTCGGATGGCCACAACTGACGAAATGTCCCTGAGGATGATCTATTGATCGAAAGTACTTGGGCAAGATTTAATTAATTACTGTGTTCGATATTTGCCTTGTATACCATCAAAGTTCAATTTAAAAAACGCATAAAATATGTAATAATAAGAAAAAAAAATGAAAGTCTACCTAAAAATGTGAGTTAGGTACTACTCCTTTATTTTTAATGACATCCACAATTATTCGAGGCATAGTTTTTATCAAGTTCTGACAAAATTTAATGTAAACGAATCCCCTATTTCTTTCAATTTTTCCTTTAATTCGTTGACGGACTCATATTGGAGACAAGTCCGGAAACTGTATAGAGACCCATTCCAGAAGTGGTATTATTATTTATTTATTAACGGATATACCATTTTTACATTGGAACAACATATAATATATAAAATTTTACCAAGTAAGCAAAACATTGGGAAATAATTAGTAAAGTTTAACAAAAACTAATAATTAGCTTGAATACAAACTAATATTACACAAATAGCAGTCTCTTTATCACATTTTTAAATTGTTCTAAGGACTGGAAAAATAAGTCCAGATCACTTTGGTACCTATTATATAGTCTCATCACCATATGAGTAAGAGGCTTGAAGTATTCATAATTAAATTGATGAAATGGCAGATGAAATAATGAAGTATGTCTAGTTCCATGAAGACTGTTAAGACCTAATCGATTTAAAAGTTCAGGGCAATTTATCAAATTATTAACAATTTTGTAAAGGAATATTAGGCAAAAATAATCGTTTCGCCGATTCATAGAAACCATTTTTAAGTGATCAGCTATCATACTATAACTGTATGGAACAGAAAGGTTATGAAAAGCACTACGGTAATGATAGTGTTTACCAAATTTATGCTGAACACGATCAAGCTTGTCTATAGAGGTTTGATAGTAAGGTCCCCATACAACTATTGCATGTTCTAGTCTGGAGCGAATGAGACTATTAAAAAGAATTGGTAAAACAAAACATGAAAATTGAGAAGTGTTTCTAGTTATAAACCCTAATTGTTTAAATGCACTGTTTACTGTGACCTCTAGATGATTACGAAATGTTAATTTACAATCAAAATAAACACCTAAATCCTTAACACAGTCCTGCCTTGACAGCTGAGTGTTATCAATGCTATAATCGTAATTTAAAATTGTTTGCTTTCTGTGAAAAGCAATAACACAACACTTATCAATGTTCAATTTTAATTCATTTAGTTTGCACTAATCGCTAAATCTGCTGAGATCCTCTTGTAATTAAATTTGATCATACTGACAAGTAATGACTTTATAAATTTTTTTATCATCAGCAAAGTTCAGAAATTTTGAATTCCTAATGACTTTTTCAACGTCGTTAACAAAAAGGACAAAAAGTATAGGACCACAATGTGACCCCTGTGGTACTCCAGAGAGGACGTCAACAAATTGAGACAACACATTATTTATCTTAATGCTCTGGGTGTTACCCACAAGAAAACTATCATACCAATCAAGCCATTTGCCAGCTATACCAATGGCTCCTAATTTACTGATTAAATAACGATTTACTTTATCGAATGCCTTTGAGAAGTCAGTATAGATGCTGTCCACCTGGTACTTCCTCTCAAAGGCACCCAATATATCATCTTGGTAGACCAACAAGTTTGACACTGTGCTCCTCCCCCTTTGAAAGCCATGCTGTTGGGGTATTATTATATTATCCGTTAGTTTTGATAAGTGAGAAGTCACTAGTTTGTCGAGAAGTTTTGGGATTGCTGACTGTATACAAATTTCTCGGTATTTTTCAATATCCTCTCTTTTACCTGACTTAAAAATGCGTACAATATAACCGTTCTTCCAGCAAGGAGGGAACTCACCAGTCATAAGAGATAAATTATAAAGATATTTTAGGGGAATAGTAAGAGAGCATAGACAGTGCTTTAATAATACCGGTGGAATTCCATCAGGCCCTGAGGAGAATTTGTTTGGAAGTTTTCTTAATTCATCAAACACTGATATAGTGTCAACTTGAATTAGGTTTACAGGGTCAATGTGTCTGACACAGTCTTTAAAATCTGGAATGGGAGCACCTTTATCTTTCTCATATACACCAGAGAAGAATTCAGCAAAACGGTTAGCAATTTCGATATTGCCCTGTGCCCTTCTGTTACCAAGATACATTTCTTGGGGTAACTCGAAGATTTACGAAGTCTGCCAATGTAGTACCAAAAACCGACTCTTTAAAATAACCAATAGGGATAAAAAATTCGTACGGCTTATGCCTGAATGATTCACAAAACAATGGATCGACCGGCGTACACACATTTAGATCAGGTATATGTGAAAAAATGAGATCCAGGAATGTTCCATGTCTGTTTGGTATATTATTGCACTGATGGAGATTTAAAAATGCAAAAGATCCACATACTGTATTCGCATGAGATTCATCAGGAAGTATGGTAGATAAATAAACCCCGTTTTGATCATTAGCCCATTGAGCATCTCTCAGGTTGTAATCGCCAGCGAAGATCACAGAACTCAGTAGATGTTGACTTATCAGTTCCTCAAGAAAGGTGCAGTGATATTCATATGCCTCAGCTAATGAACTAGGTGGTATATAGATTCCTCCTATTATAAGCTGATCATCATTCAGTTTAACTTTCACAAAAAGTTGTTTTATGTTAAACAAATTTGACTTACATATTAGTTTAGAGGGTAGGTTTTTCTTGATTGCAATATACACTCCTCCGCCCACAATGTCCAATCCATGCTGATAGCGGTCCTGTCTATAAATATTATAGTTTAATAGATCAGTCTCACTAACCAAAAACTTTTCAGATAGCCACGATTCAATCAAAATAACAATATCATAATCATTTAGTAGCAAAGAGTCCCTTAACTGAGAGAGTTTAGTTCGAAGTCCACCAACATTATAAAAGTAACATTTTAGGCTACTTCTCAGTTTTTTGGCTGGTTAGTAGTTTTTTTCACTATTGTAGGCTTATTATTAATGAATTTGATTGCATTAGAATTATCACCATTCTTAACCATATCATCTAATTGTAATTTAATTTTCTTGAAATACTCTTGCTGGGCTTTTGTTTGATCCAGGGAAATTCTGATATTGGGCACTTTAATTAGTACTACTACTACTAAGGATTTCCACAGTTTTCACTGTCTTCCTTCACTCAACCGTTTTCTCCAATTTTCCCTGTCATTCCAGTCTCCATCTCGCAGGGTTCTTTTCTCCATAGCCTCGTCTATTTCGTCTCTGAATGACCTTCGGGGTCTTTCTCTCTTTCTTCTTCCGATCGGGCTCCATTCTGTAATTTTGTTTATCCAGCGTCCCTCTGTCCGCTCTTCTGACGTGGCCGTACCAGGATACTCTCTTCTCCTCTATATAGTCGATTATGTCTGATTGCACTTCCATTCTCCGCTTAATCTCTGCGTTTTCAATTCTGTCTCTTTTTGTAAGTCTACAGCTTCTCCTCAGGAACTCCATTTCTACTGCTCTTATTCTACCTCTATTTCTCTTGTTTATTGTCCAGTTTTCGGACCCATATGTCAGGATACTTCTTGTCAGGGTATTATATATTCTCTTTTTTGTCTTTATCGTAATGTTCTTATCCCACAGCACTGAATTTAGTTGTCTTATACAGTTTCTTGTTTGTCTTAGTCTGTTGTTTATATCTTCTTCTGTTGTTCCCTGGTTCGATATTATGGTTCCTAAATACTTGAATTTATCTGTTCCATTTACTTGTCTTCCCTCGTCTATCTCTAGGTTTCTCATATCCTTGTTTTCTGTTGTTAGGTATTCGGTTTTCTCTAAGTTTATTTCCATTCCGTTGTTTTTATATTC